AGTGAGTGTGTGTGTGTGTGTGTGTGTGTGTGTGTGTGTGTCTGTGTGAGTAAGTGAGTGAGTGAGTGTCTGTGTGAGTGAGTGAGTGAGTGAGTGTGTGTCTGTGTGAGTGAGTGAGTGAGTGACCTGGGTGAGTACGGGATGGTTTTGGGTCTGATCTGATTGAAGGCAAACGTGAGTTTCTGAGCTGCTCTCTGCTGCTGTATTTCCTGTTCACAACACAAACACAAACACCGTTTCAGTGGCGTCTTGCACAGAAATCAGTGCTCGTTCGCTCATCCGGGACAACGCTAAATGTGGGTTTAAACAAGGTAAAGAAACCTTTGAGATTCACACCACAATCAGAAGTGTTTGAGTAGTTTGTGTGAGTGTGTGTGTGTGTGTTTGATCGTACCCTGAGACAGAGGTGCAGGACTGTGTCCTCTCTGTAAATGCTCTGCCAGGTGTTGACAACCTCAGGTAGGAAGGACTTGACGATGTACAGGTGTCCAGGCTTCAGCATGTCGTACTCGGACCAGGTGCAGAGCACCTTCAGCGCCCGCCGCAGGCCTCCACCCATCTCCTCTTTACTGAGGAACTCGATCTTAGCACAGAGACCGCGCTGAGCCCACGACGACATGCTGTTGTTGATGGTGTTGGGAGAGCTCTCCTCCAGACGGTACACGGTCACCGGTTCACCTGTACGACACGCAAACATGAGAACGACACGCATAAACACGCAACTGACCTCGCAAACACACAATCTCACCAAACAAATACAGCGTAGGGCTGGGCGGCGCGAACTACACCTTACGTCAAGCAATTCTGTGTAACGTTTTGTGGTTGGAAATGTAATGAAAAATGGTTCTAATTGTAAATAATCATGTTTTACTGTCTATTTTTTATAATCCAGTGAGTTTAGTCTTTTACAAACAAAAAGCTGCTTCATCTGATTTAATTATTTTCTGTTTATTTGGAATTTGATGGATTCAAAGCAAAAATCAGCTGATCCATATCAAATGTACAACAGTGTAAAAACAGATTCACAAGTTTGAAACTAAAGATTTAAAACAGTCAGACTGATATTATTAAACTGAGATCAGACTGATTGAAATTAAATTGACTGTTAATGACCTGAACTGAACTGTATATTGACACAATTGTCTTTTTAGAGCAGCTATATTTCAGGGTTTCTGTGGGTCTTAAAAAGGTAATCAAAAGTCATAATTCACCCTTCCACAAATTGAAGCGTAAAAAGAAGCAGAGAGTCTTAAATTCATAAAGTCGTGGCATTGAGTGTTGCATGAACTGCAAAAAATTAATCTCTTCCTCTTTTTTTGAGATACTGAACAAAATCAAGCAAGTTTATGATTAAAACAAGAACAAATATCTGCCAAACGTTTTCCATTTGAATTAGGTTGGCTTTTCGGAGCTCATTGGCAGATATTTGTTTTTGTTTTAATCCTAAACTACACTATTTATTTCTCAGAAAACAAGGCTTTATATTTTGTCATACTCCAGTAAATGTATCTTGAGTTAAGAATCTTTGCACATTTGTCTGATGTATTTTAATATCCCTCCATGTTTCTTCTCTCACATGTAAAAACCAATCACTACCGTCACGCCGCCCAGAACTACATGATAAACAGCAAAGCCTGATGGGACAGAGAGAGACAGGAGGGCAGTGCTGCGTCTTACCTCTAGGGGGCACTGGGGTGAATGGAATACTCTGAGACAACCGCATCAGGTTATTACGCTCCACCGCTGACACACACACACACACACACACAGGGCTGATGTCAGTACACGTCACACCACCGCGCCTCGGCCCGCTAAACACGCTCTCATTACAGTGTGTGTTTGAGCGAGGTGTCGTGGGTCGGGTTCGAATCAGGACACGTTTATGCTTTAGTTGGACGGACTGACAGAAACACTGACCTGAATACTGATAACTCTCCATGGGCTTGAACGGAGAACCGATCGCTGCTCCACAGACACACAGAGCAAAGAATGAGCAGAACAACACACAAAATACCACGGTATTACCGTGTTCCTGATGCTGTCAGTGTAGTGTAGTACTGTATGTGTAAGTGCAGCGCTGAGAGAGACCAGCAGGGGTCAGACTTACAGTCCTTACGCGGCCCCAGGTGTGTGTGTCGCCCGGCGTACAGACCTGCAGCTGAATCACACACACACACACACGGTCAGAGTAAAGCAGGATCAGTTCAGCTGTCATCAGATGATCATTAGATGTGATGAAACACTCACTGTTTGAGATGTCATCTCCTGGACTCCTGAAAACAAACAAGAAAATCACATATAAAAATAAATCACACTCATATATATGTGACCCTGGAGCACAAAACCAGTCATAAGGGTCAATTTTTTTATTTGAATTTTCTGAATAAATAAGCTTTCCATTGATGTATGGTTTGTTAGGATAGGACAATATTTGGCTGAGATACAACTATTTGAAAATTACAAAATATCTTCATGGAACATGATCTTTACTTAATATCCTAATGATTTTTGGCATAAAAGAAAAATGTATAATTTTGACCCATACAATGTATTTTTGGTTACTGCTACAAATATACCCCAGCGACTTAAGACCAGGGTCACATTTGGTATTGTGCCCTAAACAGGTTGCACTGGGTAATCCATCCATAGTGAAATCACACAGATATCTATATATAACACCATATATTTCACTATATAATTGTAGCCTTCACAAGTATAATGAAACTAGTACACTATGACAGAAGTGCTAGTAAATTACAGCAATGTTCAATCATGAAAACACAATCACTTTATTAGTTGTCAGAATATTCCACACACACACACAGTTACTCACAGTCTGTTGGATTGAGTTGATTTCCCCTGAGAATGAAAGACAGACAGAGTTACGGCGCGTGTGTGAATCCTGTTTCTCTTAAACACTTTGGTGTGTGTCGCTGTGTGTTTGACTGACCAGCAGCAGATCCTCATAACGAGAGACGTCCTCCAGCGACACACGCGTCCTCTCCTGCTTACCGAGCGCTGGAACACACACACACACACACACACACACAGACAGAGACAGACAGACACACACACACACACACACACACACAGACAGAGACAGACAGACACACACACACACACACACACACACAGACAGAGACAGACAGACACACACACACACACACACACACACAGACAGAGACAGACAGACACACACACACACACACACACACACAGACAGAGACAGACAGACACACACACACACACACACACACACAGACAGAGACAGACAGACACACACACACACACACACACACACAGACAGAGACAGACACGCACACAGACAGACACACAGACACGCACACAGACAGACACGCACACAGACAGACACGTACACACAGACAGAGACACAGACAGACACGCACACAGACACACACAGACAGACACACACACACAGACAGAGACAGACACGCACACAGACAGACACACAGACACGCACACAGACAGACACACAGACAGACACAGACACGCAGACAGACACGCACACAGACAGACACGCAGACAGACACAGACACGCACGCAGACAGACACGCACACAGACAGACACGCACACAGACAGACACAGACACGCAGACAGACACGCACACAGACAGACACGCACACAGACAGACACAGACACGCAGACAGACACGCACACAGACAGACACGCACACAGACAGACACAGACACGCAGACAGACACGCACACAGACAGACACGCACACAGACAGACACAGACACGCAGACAGACACGCACACAGACAGACACGCACACAGACAGACACAGACACGCAGACAGACACGCACACAGACAGACACGCACACAGACAGACACACACACAGACACAGACACGCACACACAGACATGCACACACAGACACAGATACACACACACACATAGACACAGATAGAGAGATGCCATGAATGTTTTCACATCAAGAGAAGAGTGTGTAGCTGCGCCCAGCAGGGGGCGTTTGTGCTCGTGATGCTGGATCACGGTTAATGTCTAAAGCGTCTGGTGTTGCGTAACGCTGCACTCACTGGACTCTGGATGCAGGAACGAAGGGTTTCGGTCGAACTCGGTGAAGCCAGCATATGAGTTCACCGTCCGCATGTGACACTGCGCCGCTGCCGCCTGCAGAAACACACCGGATTGAGCCAAACCAGAGAATCATCATCTTTAACATCCAGAAAACAACACTGACTCACCGCATCCCGAGCCTTTCTGGAGGGACTCGACTGCCGGCCGCTCACAGCAGCCTCTTCAGGGAACGACCTCTGACCCTCAGGATCATCCTTGTGACCTTTGGAGAAAAATGAGTTCAAAGCATTACAGACGTTTACACTGGCACAAGAAAGCTTTTTTGCTTGCATCAGACACAGATCAGAATTTGTCGCACACGTGTGAACACAGAAATCTGCACGAGATCCGATTTTTCCGCATCTGATCTGAACCACTTCCAAATGTGGATTTTAATCAGATACATATCCGATATCTGGACATCTGACCTACGTCTAAACACGCAGAAATCCCAATGCGAGGGCGACAGGTTTGCTTATAAAGATAGCGTTTTAATGCTGTTTGCGCTCATATTTTATTGAGATGGTTTTCAACCCCTGCCACATCAATTCATAAATACAACAGCTAAAAGCTACATTATATTTCTCAGCAAAGAAGTGGCAACTTAAAAGTTTTTGTAATTAAACCAACAGGCTTGACGTGAATTATATAAATAATTTTAATAGTAATAATTCTACCATGTGCATAGTAAAGCGATCACTGCAGACAATCACTTTGGGCGGTAATTAATGTAATGTAAACGCAGATATGGGATAGCAGTCGTGTCTAGGGGTGTGCGATATTGACAAAAAAATAATATCTCAATATTTTCTGGGATTTTATCGATAACGATAATTAGACGATATTTTGCGGAGTGTGTTATTGTGCTGATATCTTAAGAGCTGACTCCTAAAGTTTTTGATATTCTTCATATTCTGTGTGCTGGTCAATTCACACTGATAGAAATTTATATTTTCCAATAAGTTTAAATAGATTTTTACCTTTTATGGGCATTTTTACTTTTATAAAGCTATTTTTCTAAAAGTGTGCATCCTCTTTTGAGTCAAATTCCTAATAAGACATCTGGGCTGTAACCAAGCAAATAAAATCAGTATCAACAAAATTAATCTGTGCAGCGCAGAGGAAACACAGAAGCTGCATCTGAAGTGGCGTTTAGATGTGTTTAGACACAGTTTAATGCAGGACATGAATGCATTTAACCTGCAGTTACAAATGCATAAATAATGTTTTGATATTAAACATAAAACAGTGAGTACTGTTATTTGAAATTATTTAAATAATAAAAAGATACTTTAAATGTGAAACTAAAACCGCCAGTAGGTGGCAGCAAGTCACTGTTAATAAGCGAGTCATTGCGACTGAACCGAATCATTAAAACAGTTGATTCATTCAGGAACGAATCACCGTCATGTTGCTCAGAGACACAAAACAGTCGCGTCTAAAGTGAATGTAAACAGGCAGCCAAAAAAAAAATCAGATATGGTCAAAAGATCGGATCTGTGCATTATGACACATTCATCAGTGGATTACAGTCACCCTGTTAAATGTTTCCCTCCGATCACACTGAGCTTTAATACCCCGTCATTAACCAAACCCTTAACCAGCACCAGCCCGGGTTAGTTTAGTCTACCGGACACACACAGCACTATATTCACTCCCGAGGGACATTTAGTACAAAGCAACTGGTTGAGATGAAACCACCGCCAGAGGTCAGAGGTCACCCGTCTCACCCTCCCTAACACACACAGGGGCATGCGGACGGGGTGAGGGTCAAGGGTCACGGTTATTCCCAGCAGTGGACCGAAGCCAAACCTCCGCTCCTCTGCCTGAGTCTGTTCAGTGCACGTCTGCAGCGGCTGTCTCTCCGGAAGCGCGGGGGGCCCCGGGGCCCGAGCTCAGGGGCCAGAGGAAGGGGCGTGTTTCTTTCGGGCGGGTCGTGTTCGTCATCAGCGAAGGCGTGATTGACGTATCCCTCGCGCTCAGGCTCACTCACGACCACCACTGGGGGGCCTCCATCACTCCTCTCATAAACACCCTCCTCTTCCTCCTCATACTCACCCACGAAGGCCCCGAACTCCTCCGCGGCATGCGCCGGCTCCGTGTGTGTGTGCGAGATGGTGAGCTGTGACGGCGTGCTGACGAAGAACGTGGCTGGAGCCGGATCCGACCTCGATCCAGCCTCTGGGCTCCGAGGAAGCTCCGCCCCCTGCCGCTCCTCAGCTCCGCCCCCAAACAGAGACTCTGCTATGCTGGCGGCGGGAGGCAGGAATCCCACGCTGCACCGCACCAGCGCACTCGACTTCGAGTGCCCCATCACGTCGGGCCCCAGGTTCTTGGAGATGCTGAGCTCGCGTGTGATCTGGTTGTGCACTTTGCTAGCCTCGGACGCTCGCTGCGCGGTCAGTGCCTTTAGCGTGTCCACCGTGAGCGCCGACAGATCCTGCAGGTGTCCGATTTGAGAATCCAGCGTGTGCAGAGAGCGCTTGATGAAGTTCACCTTGTTTCCGACCTCCTTCAGCTGCACACACATCGTTTCCACCCTAAAAAACAAACAGTTAAACAAAAATTTCAGTTCATTTATTTGTATAGCACTTTTCACAATACATACTGTTTCAAAGCAGCTTTACAGACAATAATCACAGCACCAGGGGCTTTAGGTTTCACATTTATGCATTTGGCAGACACTTTTATCCAGAGAGGTACACGTTAGTGCTGTGTTCAAAATATCGATACGACGATGTATCGTCACAGAGATTTGACGATACGAGCATCGATACAGCTGGCCCCGTATCGATATTGTGGCACGTGTGCAGCAGTGGACCGCGCTTAATTGGTTTAAAATTTTACAACGTTTAAAATGGAGTAGAAAAGTGCGAGGTTTCTAAAAAATAATGAATAGAGCATATATAGGCTACAACAAGGTTTAATCTGGCCGCAGAGGAACACAACTGGGTTGCCTGATATAAAGAGACGTAATCCCCGAAACAGAGCTTCACACTTGCGCAATACGGAAATATCTGCTAAGTGTGCTACTTATCTGTCGTCAACCTGGCAACCCTGCGCTCTCTCTCCACTGTGGATAAACGCGCTTGCTTTCTGAGTGTGTTATTGTGCTGATATCTTAAGAGCTGACTCCTAAAGTTTTTGATATTCTTCATATTCTGTGTGCTGGTCAATTCACACTGATAGAAATTTATATTTTCCAATAAGTTTAAATAGATTTTTACCTTTTATGGGCATTTTTACTTTTATAAAGCTATTTTTCTAAAAGTGTGCATCCTCTTTTGAGTCAAATTCCTAATAAGACATCTGGGCTGTAACCAAGCAAATAAAATCAGTATCAACAAAATTAATCTGTGCAGCGCAGAGGAAACACAGAAGCTGCATCTGAAGTGGCGTTTAGATGTGTTTAGACACAGTTTAATGCAGGACATGAATGCATTTAACCTGCAGTTACAAATGCATAAATAATGTTTTGATATTAAACATAAAACAGTGAGTACTGTTATTTGAAATTATTTAAATAATAAAAAGATACTTTAAATGTGAAACTAAAACCGCCAGTAGGTGGCAGCAAGTCACTGTTAATAAGCGAGTCATTGCGACTGAACCGAATCATTAAAACAGTTGATTCATTCAGGAACGAATCACCGTCATGTTGCTCAGAGACACAAAACAGTCGCGTCTAAAGTGAATGTAAACAGGCAGCCAAAAAAAAAATCAGATATGGTCAAAAGATCGGATCTGTGCATTATGACACATTCATCAGTGGATTACAGTCACCCTGTTAAATGTTTCCCTCCGATCACACTGAGCTTTAATACCCCGTCATTAACCAAACCCTTAACCAGCACCAGCCCGGGTTAGTTTAGTCTACCGGACACACACAGCACTATATTCACTCCCGAGGGACATTTAGTACAAAGCAACTGGTTGAGATGAAACCACCGCCAGAGGTCAGAGGTCACCCGTCTCACCCTCCCTAACACACACAGGGGCATGCGGACGGGGTGAGGGTCAAGGGTCACGGTTATTCCCAGCAGTGGACCGAAGCCAAACCTCCGCTCCTCTGCCTGAGTCTGTTCAGTGCACGTCTGCAGCGGCTGTCTCTCCGGAAGCGCGGGGGGCCCCGGGGCCCGAGCTCAGGGGCCAGAGGAAGGGGCGTGTTTCTTTCGGGCGGGTCGTGTTCGTCATCAGCGAAGGCGTGATTGACGTATCCCTCGCGCTCAGGCTCACTCACGACCACCACTGGGGGGCCTCCATCACTCCTCTCATAAACACCCTCCTCTTCCTCCTCATACTCACCCACGAAGGCCCCGAACTCCTCCGCGGCATGCGCCGGCTCCGTGTGTGTGTGCGAGATGGTGAGCTGTGACGGCGTGCTGACGAAGAACGTGGCTGGAGCCGGATCCGACCTCGATCCAGCCTCTGGGCTCCGAGGAAGCTCCGCCCCCTGCCGCTCCTCAGCTCCGCCCCCAAACAGAGACTCTGCTATGCTGGCGGCGGGAGGCAGGAATCCCACGCTGCACCGCACCAGCGCACTCGACTTCGAGTGCCCCATCACGTCGGGCCCCAGGTTCTTGGAGATGCTGAGCTCGCGTGTGATCTGGTTGTGCACTTTGCTAGCCTCGGACGCTCGCTGCGCGGTCAGTGCCTTTAGCGTGTCCACCGTGAGCGCCGACAGATCCTGCAGGTGTCCGATTTGAGAATCCAGCGTGTGCAGAGAGCGCTTGATGAAGTTCACCTTGTTTCCGACCTCCTTCAGCTGCACACACATCGTTTCCACCCTAAAAAACAAACAGTTAAACAAAAATTTCAGTTCATTTATTTGTATAGCACTTTTCACAATACATACTGTTTCAAAGCAGCTTTACAGACAATAATCACAGCACCAGGGGCTTTAGGTTTCACATTTATGCATTTGGCAGACACTTTTATCCAGAGAGGTACACGTTAGTGCTGTGTTCAAAATATCGATACGACGATGTATCGTCACAGAGATTTGACGATACGAGCATCGATACAGCTGGCCCCGTATCGATATTGTGGCACGTGTGCAGCAGTGGACCGCGCTTAATTGGTTTAAAATTTTACAACGTTTAAAATGGAGTAGAAAAGTG